CAGTGACCTCAATTGACTGTTTCCACAGTGCTTCCCTTTGGACAATCAGTTATGTTCTTGCAGAAAATAACAGTTCCTATGTCTCTTCTGCAATTTTGCACATGATTAAAATGGGATACTGATGGAGGCAGACTTTGAGAGTAATTTCACCATCCTGAAACCTTTAGTCTTACTTCAGTAGTTTATTAAACTTATTTTTGAAGCTGCTTTTTGTTTCTGAAGGTGTCTTTCCTTAGGTTCAGTGATATTCTGTATGTAGATACATTTTAGGTGTATTTGTGGGTTTTATCATCTAAAATATGCTTTCTAGGTATGAACTATGAGACAAATTATGACCTTTTTATTTATTTATTAAAAGAAGTCTTTTATTCTTCATCCTACCATGCAATTTAGGCAGTAACACTTGATAAATCCATCCACTGCAGTAGACTCCTTTCCTTAGTCCAAACCTGGGTCCATCAGTGACGCCTTTCTCAGTGTTCTTATCCAAAACGCTTGTTTTGATTGCATCAGGTTCTCTTCCATTGGTGTTGTTCCATGATGTCTGTATTCCCTGAACCATGTGTCTCCTTCAGGACTTGTGCTTCAGACCTGGTTGTTACTCCACCAGTTTTTTTACTTTGTTTAATAAGCTGTATTAGTAGTTCTCTAGTTAATTGCCCAGGTGTCTAGCTTGTTTTACTTAACAGGGCTTGTTATTCTCATTCTCAGTGTCAACATTTCTCATTTCCCTCCCTCTTCATTCTCTTATGACTTAGTGTGACTGTGCCCTTCGTTACCACCTGTTTGTTTACTATAAGAAAAAAAAATAAAGCATAAGGAAGAATAAGGAAATGTGCTTGGTTTTGTTCCATGAACATTTTTTTTAATCCATGGCAATATGTAATTGCATCTAACCTTATGAAAGGAATCTTGGAAATCAAATTGTGAGTTGGATCTCACCCACCACATGATCAATATTCTTTCTGATGTGCTCATAAAAATGTAATTGCTTAAATTCTCTCATAGCATTTTGTGTTATGTTCAGCTGATTGCCAGATGCCAGGATGAGACTTGCTGCTCTGTAACTCTGTGGACTGGTCCTAGAGTCTCTTAAATACTAGAATTCTTCTTCAGAAGGGCAGCTGCTTTTACTGTGAGACTGGGTGGGTTTTTTTTGAGCAGTTGCCTCAGCAGGATCTCATGATTTTAGCAATATTGAGTAAATGAAATACAAGTATGAAAGCCAGATACTGATGAATAAAAGTTAAGGTTACTGGAGGCATGTTGATTTGCAGTGTAGATAGTATAAGATTATAAGGATACCATTAAAATTACCTTTTCCACGTTATGTATCATCTGATTTATTTTTTAATTTTGTTTTTCTCCCTCCCCCCTTTAGTACTCTGATCTACAAGTTTGGAAGAACAGAAGAGTTATGGGGATGAGAGATCACGTCTAGCGTTGTCTGTTCCATGGCTGTTATGTCGTACTGCGTATGTAGACACATCCACACTTGTTCCTGGTTTGCTTTCTAGATTGTACAAACGGAGACAAATTCCAGTGTCTGTCACACGCTCCCTCTTCTCACAGGAGAGATCTGTGAATATGTACATAGGACTGTATAGATCTTAAAATCGGAATGTCAGGCTTGCTTTCTGAAATCTTCAGGCTTATTTCCTGAAACACATGGGTTTCCATCAACACCTAAGAACTGATCTTCCAAACCTTCATGTCATGTATCAGAAACTCCAGTGGAACTATTAGTGAAGGGGGAGGATGAAGCCCATGCCCTGTAAGGGGGTTATTACTTTTATGTGTAGGTGACCTAGAGCTGATCCTGCAAGGGCTGCCTGTGTAACCTGAAGTAGTCAGTGCATGGAAATGACCCAGCTAAGCCTGTATTTAAGGAGGGTAAGTTCTCTTGTATGCTGAGATGAGAGCTGATTTTAAGAATTTTATATAACTGTTCAGAAAACTATAAAGTAGTTATTTTTTTGTAAAAGGTTCCAGATTTTTAAACAAAGCCCTATATTAAGCAGGTTCTGCATGGCAAATCAAACTACTGTTCTGATTGCTGCAGCACAAATGACATTTGGTAGTGTCACAGTCCTTAGACTTTAATTCCGTGCTGGTCAGTGTAATAGATACCAATTAATATTTAATGTATTTACTGATATTAGAACAAGAAACACCCCATCGAATTGCTGCTAGTCATACTTAAGGAATACAAAAAATACGTGAGAGTCAGACTGGCGTCTTTAAAATGATATTAGTGCAATTTTATTCAGGGGAAGATTTTGAAGGAATAGGTATCTGGCTACCTATTACCTTTTCTGTTTAAAAGGTGAGCATTTCAAGTGGGAATATAGCAGATGTATTTATTGCTCACAATCTTACCAGGAAATAATTACCTTTTTTACGATGCCCATTTGCCCCTCTTAAAATGTATTTCTTTCCTGCATTTCATGGGCACTTTATGGGAATACTTCTGTTATAAAATCCAGTTTCTTCTAGCTGGGGTATACAGAAAGGGAGAACACTGGTGTTTTATAGCTTTGGACTGATCTTGTATGTTCGTCTTGCTGTTGGTGACTTCCTTACGAGTTCTGTGTGGTTTTAAGAGCTTTTAGACACCAGGTAGATTCAAATGCTTTAACAACTTCCCATGTATGAGGGCTGCTGGCCAAATGGTATTTGACTGCAGAATGTCACTTCTGTGCATGGTTACTGTGTACTGTTAGTCATCTTAATTGCTCCCTTGTGGGAATTGCTCCAGTGGACAGAATATGAAGCAAATACTGCAGCTGAAATTGTGCTACTGGCTAGACTAACTTCATCCCTATTTCACCATCCTGCAGCGAGTTTTGCGACATTTTGACTGGTGTTAACCATACCTTTGTACATAAGTCATCTCTTCAGTTGTAATTTCAGAAAACTGCAATAAACTTTATCTTACATTCTCAAAATAGCGAACCTCACAAGGTACTTGTACTGTAGTATGCAGTAGCTCAAGGAGTGCTGACCTTTAAGCTTGGAGCAGCTAATAAGTAAAACCCAGGCATTTGTTTTCAGTTCTGTCAGCTTCTTGCTTAGACACTTGGGAATGTTGGCTGTTTTACCAAGTGAGAAACAAGTTTGGCTTGTAACTTATCCCCTTCACTGCATCTTGCACTTGACCCTTCAACAGCACAAGCAGTGTTTGATTCTGGGAGAACTCTTACAGCGTGCTTTAACACAAGTTCTCAGTTCAAAAGCAGTTTTGTAAAGAACAGGACAAGAGCTTCTGTCTGAGGTTATTTCCAGTTACTTGCATTTTCTATCCAAAGTTTGTTTTCTCCCAAGTGTTTCTTGACCATCCCCTCCTGGTTTTAGAGAACTGGAATGGTCACGCTCTCTACAGAGCTTTGAGCATCTTGTCTTTTCTGGTAGCCTAACAACTTCAAAAAGGTGTAGTGCAGGATTCATTCAGAATATCCTGAGGTCCACTTTGACACTACAAGTAGTTCCAGCACAGGCCAACCTGGATAGGTATGGCTCATTTTAGGTAATGCCTTGGCCTGCTACAGTTGGCAGTTGTGAGGATAACCCTTGAGGTACTCCTAACGAAAGGGGTTTTTTAATTTTGGCTTATTTATCTAACTCTAAAATTGTTTAAGTAACAACTCTCTCTACCAGAAGTCTAGCGCAGGGCTTATTCAGGAAGTTGTATGTTGTGAAACATTTGCTGGAGATGTTTTAGCTGCCTGCTTAATGTCCTCTGGTATGCATGTAGGCTCTTCCTTCTGTGAGCCTGTGGTTCTTTGTTTACAGCACAGTATATAAAAACAACACAGATGAACTTCAAAGCAGGTCTTGTGCAGCTTGCAGCTGACTCGAAAACTCTTACCAGACTTCAGGTAACTGTTGTCTTGGCATGTTGCCTAATCACAAGTGAGGAGATGATTAGTTCTACAAGGAAACAACCTCATGCAGCCTTTAGAAAAAAGCTACTGTTTTCCATGCAAGTCCTGCATATTCCTGGAAGAGGTGGAAGAGTGTTGCCTCAGATAACCCACAGCTCTGACCGTCACCAGGTTCATTAACACACAAGTAACCTGAACTTATTTATTTGCCAATAAACAAGCATATTTCTTCAAGTTTTTTAAACCACTTGTATCAAACCCAGGGAAGAAGTCAAATAAAACCAATCTTTTTAGTACAGAAGTGGTTCATTTGTGCTTTATTAGCCACCTTCCAGACCCCACAAGATTGTGATGTGAGGATTAACTTGTAGTCTTCTGCTCCAAGGGGCTCCAAAAGTTGACCCTTGGTCAACTTTTCAGTTGTAGGGCTAATCTGATAACGAAAAGAGATTTTAGTGTCTGGTTATTTACTGATACACATTGCATAAATTCCAAGCAAAATTGGTTTAAAGTTTGGTTTCCTGTGATGAACAACTGTCTCACTGCAAGAGCAGAAGATTAATGCTTCTTGTGAATGTGTTGGGAGGCAGATAGGAGGAGGCCTTTCTTGGAGCAGTTCTTTGCATAGGTTCATGTTGAGGAGTGTAAAGTAAAATGAACTTTTTAGACTGCCATTTTTATCTGCAGGGAAGAAGCTGCCACAGACAAGTGCACGTACTTAACAGTGACTCAGAAGAGTGTACTGGCATGGATAGGATACATGTTCAGTGCTAACACAGGCTTCACAAGGCAACACAGAAGCCAACATGAAAGTCATTCACAGTGCAATTACTCGCTCACAGAAAAATTCCAGGAGAATTAGTACACCCTACCATAAAGTGCCATTCTTTCTCAATGATATGAACACAACCACGTGCCTGCCTTTAAGGCAGTTTAGTGTTGGTCCCCCTCAGGCCTGTCCCTTGGGCAGCAGAGGGTGGCTGCAGTGGCGCTCGGGACCGTCAGTGGCCACGTTCTGTGCAGAGCTCGCTGCCCGTGGTGCCGGTGGCCACGCGGCTGCGCTGGTGGCCAGTGGCCTCCCCCGGGGCTCAGTCCAGGCGCTCTCGCGGCCGCCCCTTAAGTCACTTCGCTGTCACCGGCGGCGCTGCGGGAGTGAGCCTGGCCATCCAGGCTGCTGCCACACGCCTGGCTCTCTTCTCCACAAAATACAACAGAACAGGAATCGTGGGGATCGTCGGTGGCGTGATTGTCCAACACCTCTAAAATGGGCATGCTAGGGTCCTTCAAATACTGGAAACAAACAGAAACAACAGTTTAGCTAGCTATGCACAGAACAGATGTAGAGATGGAGCAGCTAGCACCACCTAGAGGCAAGTTGTTTCCATCTGGAATTCACAATGAGAGCTGCTAAACATATCCTAGTCTGGATTTCTTTGAAACTACACTGAACAAGGAGAGAGCTAAGAAAACCTTACTTCTGTAGGAAAAAAATGTAATCACTGAAACATCCAGTTAAGTGAGTTAAAGCAGCTTGCATTTCATTTTTTCTTTTTTAAAAATAAATTCTGGCTAATATTGTTTTTATCTCAGTTCGAGCAAATTCCTAGTATTTAAGAATAAATGACAGAAGCACTTCTGTGTGACACTGCTGGGGACATAGCCTCCAACTGCAGGCATCTACCAACTGACAGCTTGTCTTAAGCAATGATGGAGCAAAAGTGATCAAAGATTCTGGCTTGTTCAGTGTCAGGCAAGTTAGATCTGCATCTTCTACTGTTACAAGAAAACTCCAGTGGCATTCTTCTCCTGTAGTTACTTTTGCTTTGACTTCCCCTCTGCTCTCCTTTCCTCCAAAATTAAGTTATCAGCTTTACAATGAATGTATAATCAAAGGAGGGTTAGGGAAAAAAAAAAGTAGGCCAGAGAAAATTCTTTCTGTTCCTCCTGCCACCGCCCTATACTCTACTTATTACTAGGCTGGTCTTGTGTTTCACAGGGAACTGGAGTCTCCTACTACTTCATGTATTGAACAACAACAAAAATTAAAATCTGCCACTGAACACTTTTTCCCCTTGATAAAAAAAAACACCACACAAAAAATGTCTGGAATGCAGACATCTGCACATTGTTGAAAGACTGTCCCAGCTTCTAGTTTTACTCAAAAGCTTGTTCTGTGCTGTAGGAGATGTCATAACCTGGCTGAGATGGGGCCACAGCTCAAGTCACATCTGTTGTGGGACAAAAATCAACCTTGTTTTCAGGTTCAATTAAGGCACCACTCCCTCTGTAATTATAACAAGGTTAATGAGCAACAGGATTATTTTTTCAGGTGCATTAAATGTTTCATATGGAAACCTCAAATACATCCACTTTAGCAAATTCGAGACGTAAATGAACATCAGTTTAGCTCTGCTATGTGCAGGCATTTCTGCAGTAGAACTGCTCCCTGTAACTCAGATGCTGAAAGCTGAGATGCTTCTGTAAAAGAAGGAAGCATGTGATTTTTCTGAAAATCTAAAAATACATATGAAACTGCTTTAAAAAAAAAAAAAACAACTAAAAATGTGTACTCATGGACTTGTTTTAAGAGGAGAAGCCTCAGGCTGTTTGAGCCGTTTCAGAAATAAATATTTTAGTAATTCGGAACGTTTACTGATTATCCTTCATTTCTTATCAGTATGCACAAAACCAGGGTCACTATTGCTCAAGTATCTATTTTTGTTGCCTATTTTTCAGATGAATAGTTACTCCAGAATACATGATGATAGACTCCATTCTTGCAAGTCCTTTGCATGAAATGCTGCACTATTTTAGTATACTGTACAAGGATCTTTTTTTATTTTTCCTTTGTGAAATACACTGTGCTTGACATGAGATACAGCTGTGTCCACTGAGCCTCCAGGAAATGGCAGCTGAGGCAGCACAGAGAGAAAACTATGTATTCGGGGCTCTGCATAAAGTCTGGCTTCACTCACCCATAACTCCATAAAAATCTGGAAGACCAGCTCCACAATCACAGAACTACCATAATACAATGGACGGCTCTGACACACAGAGATATACAAAGAAATACACCTCAAACAGCTGCAAACAAATACAAGCTTTTAAAAATATGGAATGTATGCTGAACAAGAACTTCTAAATTGGTAACTTTGCTTGAAAGACTGCTTCCTGTTTAAATACTAGAAAGAGGAAGATGAGTGGGATTGAAAACAGTATCATTTAGTACAGGAATGATGCAGGAGAAAAGTACAGGAGGTACAAGGGGAAAAGACAGTCCCGGGATGACTTTTTCATCTGAGAATTGCTAAAACTACAGGAAAAAAAACCCAAGAACATCCCTCTAAGTAGTCCTTAGCCTTCAAGTCAGTTCTTGCTCTTAAAATGATCAGTGTTCCCCTTTCCACATTTGATTTTGAATCCGAGACTTAGGTCCCAAGCACACATGCTGCAGCACACAAGGACTTTTGGTTTCAGGTAAGCAGCTGTTTCAGGCCTGATGACTTCAGATAAGCAAAGAATGGGGTGGACAAGGAACAGAAAAATCTTACTCAAGTTTCACAGCAGAACTGATTATAGCAGCATTTGTATCTTAGTGCAAACAAAGAATAATGCAGTTGAGTAACAAGAGGAGTGAAGTAGGAGTTCATGTATGAGAAAAGTAACAGCTTACACTAAGTCAGCAATTACTTATATCAATTTCTGTTAGGCAACAAGTAGCTTCGTTCGTACTCACTCCAGGATTGTCACTGTCTTTTACAGAAGGAAGGGAGAGGGGAAAGAAGAATGAAGTATCTATGCATACCTCTTCAAAGTGTGATGGGATTTCTAAAGGTGGCTGAGTCCAGTATTTTATTTTTTTGTGGTGTCTCCACAGAATAAACAAACCAACTGTTATGAGATTTATAATCAGCAACACCGACACAAATATTAGTGTAATATATCCAGCTCTGGTTTGCTCTGAAAAAGGAAAAAAAAAAAACAACCCACCCAGGTACATATGGTAGAGTAATATTTATACATCATCAATGTAAAACTATATACAGCAGGCTGAAATTTATGATACTTGCTAATCAAAGTATTAATCTGCAAGGCTAAGATCACAACCCCACTATAAACACTATAAATTGTTTTTGTGATTCCACATGGAAGTCAGCAGCTCCCATGAGCTTCTGCTCCTTAATCAGGCAGCCCAAGGCAAGCTTCTGCTCCACACGCCAGCAGGCCAATGCAGAGCTGGAGGAATCACTGCTGGTGGGCAGAGGGCAGGCAGGGTAGGCAGCCTGTCCTTCCACCCTCAAGGTGTCAGCAAGGGCCATTAAAGCCAGGAGCTTCTCCTTCAGAACATGCACCCCCCACTTCAGCAAAGGGAGCATCAGAGACTCCAACACTGCAGCTCAGCGGCTTGTGATCAAGTTCTTGGGCAATGCTCCCCGGGAGGTCAGCTCCTCTGGGGCTTCAGAAACTGCACAAGCTGCTTTCAACTTCCATTGTGCTCACAGCATGCTAAAGGGTGGTTGTGCCTGTGTGCTGGTGGCCACGTGGAGAAACTCAAGGGAGGGACACACTCCATTATCTCGTACATGCCCACTCCTCCCCTCACCCTCCCTCTTATCTCATGCAAAAACGTGGAGCTTGAAATATCAGAGGAAGAGCAGGTCAAAGAGAGGGACATCCCAGATCTGCAGGAAGCAGTGGCTGGGGGAGAGGATTTGCAAGAGTAACGCCATCTCCTTCATTGATGACTTCCTTTAAAGACCAAATATTTGTATTTTCTTTCTTTGTGTATTTCTAGAAAGTAATACCCCTAGCAGTACTTATGAAGGAAAAGGACAAGGGGAAAAGTACAACACAGCCCTTCAATTACTGACTGAAAAAAATCCTATTGTTTTGCCACTGATGACAATTGTGAACTACTCTCAGTGGTGCTCTCGTAGCACTCCTGACAAATCCAGCTATGTAAGGGACCAGTTACACAATCTAAGACTCATACAGAGAAACTGTACACAAAAACCAGAAAAATTCTATTTATACCACTGATGGTAGTTCTGTAACACTCTGGGGTGCTTTGCTGTCCAAGTAGCAGGAGATCTGGATATGTCACCAATTCTACTTGAATGCTAAAACAGTAAAGTGTCAATTCTTTTAGGTTTCCAATTTTGAAGAGTGTGTTGCTCGTCTTTGTCTCCTGTTTAAAAGACAAAACAAACAAAAGGTGTTATGGCAAAAAACAGACCTGTCCTCAGTAGAGCTCCCCTCCCCATATTTAAGTTTCTCGTTCAAAAAGCACAGAATTTTTCACAATTTAGCTTTCCAAAACAAGAGAAGCAGTGAAATATGTTTCAACTTTCCTACCTGAATGCATTTGAAATTTCATTATTTTTAAGTGAAATCAAGCTTGACCATTTAAGACCACCTCTAAAGGCAGGAACAGAAGAGGTGTGAAAACTGATGTGAGGTCTTGTTTGACCCAGAACATGCTACTGGTGGCTTTGACATGGCCTCTGTAACAGCTCAAGCAGCGAGTGCAAGGTAGGAGGGGAGAGGGTGAAACAAGCCATGGGAAGCGTCTCCACCATCAGAGGATGCTGACAGAAGTGTAGTGAAAAACTTCCACCACCTCAGCTCCTCCTGCAAAGAAGAAAGCAGTTCACAGGCAGTGCAAAACCTCCAATCTCCACACGGCCACCACCAGTCTTTTAGGAATTTTTAACCTGTAAGGGACTAAGACAAGGGCCTCGGTGAAGCCCACACAAGCAGATAAGAGTAACTTCTTGTCTGAATCTCAAACACCAAGGTATTTCATATGTCAGAAAAATACACATTGGTGCAAGAGAGGAAGGAAGTGGAGATGTTTCCGATTTAGCAACATCTCCGAAACAAAAGTTTTAAAAATAAATTACTTTTTTTCTGCTCCTGTCTTTTAAACATTTGACTTTATAATGATGTTCTTTTGAATCTTTTTTCTTTTTTTTTTAAATGTAACTTATTTCCTCCTCTGCAACACTGACCTGTCAAGAACACAATAATCAGGGCCCCAGACAGCAACATAACCACACAATGAGACCAGCACCTCTAAGCCTCAATGTGAACAGGGACAGCTCATGCCAGCTGGGTCCATCATCTTTCTAATAACTTTGCTTTTCTCTGTCCCACAAGCAGGCGACATCAGCCGAAAGCAGCCTGTTACTGAAGCTGCCAGCCAAACAAGCCTAGCACAGGAAAGGACAGGTATTTCAAACTGCCCAAACAAACTTTTGAATTTAAATGTTATTTTACAGCTATCTTTGACACTTGATGGATTCTCTCCCTTGATCTGCAATATGATTTGAGCTCGTTTTCACATGGAGGAAATAAAAGGTCATCCTGAAAGTTTCGAAATACATGCAATCCTTGGGCCAAGACCAAATCAGCTTTTTTCAAGACACCACATGGTGACCTTCACTGCTAGAGAAAAATACATGACATTAGTTCTCTTCCTCTCTTTCTGCTGTCTTACCAAGAGACACTGACTCATACCTCTTAGTCTCAAAAGCATTACAAAGTAAGTTAAATACTTACTTTTTTAGCAGTACTTGTTGTGTTCTCCCAGTAGGACACATGGTACTGAAAAAAGTCATCTGATTCAGATCCAGGAGGGGGTTCAACATTAATGAGAAGCGAGTCAGAGCTTTCAATCACACTATTTACTTTAGGGGGCCCTAGAGTAGCTGAAAATAAACACAGAAAGAGCAGTGAATCTCTAGGATACAGAACACCTCATCATACTGTCTTCAGCTTTCCTTAGATACTTTTAGCAAACATGCTTAAATAGTGACAGCTTTTTCTCAAGAACAGGAATACAATATTTTCTCATTTACTTAATGCATTTAAGATACCTACTTTCTTACAAATCTACAGAAAGACTTGAAAACATAAGCAAAATGAGGCAGTTTAAAAAAGTTCCCTGTTAACTTCACCTGTAAACTCAGTAAATATTCTCTAGAATGCATCTGAATTTATCTGCAGTTAATGGTGATACAATTTTATTTTTTTTGTTCTTCAGGTAGAGAACATGGGGAATATGCAGTAGGGTAAAAGCCACACCGTTTGGGTCAACAGGTTGGAAGAGAAATAACTACTCTCCCCTTTCTTGCCTTGATCTCTGCATCTGTCCTATAGGGTAAAGGTGATGACTTCCTCTTGTGAAGTACTTGGGAGGTCTAAATCATGAAAAGTTATATAAAGAACTGTCAGTCTTAATACAAGAGATTTCTGTGATGACAGGTCAGATATGGTCATTAGTAATTTATCCTTTGTATCTTGACTTCTTTTACCCGTTAAACTTATTGGCTTTTGTAAAGTACTCCAGGATGTCAAAACCCCACACTTCTGCAAATATTAGTTAACAGCTGCTTATATAATAAAGAGGGTTAACCATTAACAGGAAAAGTCAATCCTTGCATGCAATCATTGCTTTTTATACCTCAAAAAAATCCACCAGGACCTGCTCTGCACTGTTACTTTAGGGAAAATTGTCCCCCATGATCTTTATATTGGTAGAGAAAATTCTGTTTCTTTCTGATTTCTGTTGCTGTACAACTGCAAATGCCTTGCTGTGTGTCTTCACACACTCCAAAAGCTCCCCTCTCGTGTGGGACTGACCCAAACTTTAAAAGAAGAGAACAGCCTGACTGAGTACCCCACTGTTTTGGTGTCTAGGCAGCTATCTCAAGGGTGGTCACATAAGAATGATCACATAATATTCCTCTTGGTCCCCCAAGGAACAGACAAAACATCTCTTCCACACCAAGCCTCTCCTTTCTCTTGTATTCTCATTAGCCCACGGCTTTCCTAACCCCCAAAGGGTCCCACTCAAACAATCCTGCATCACGGTGTCTACAGAAACATCACCTGTAATCGCCAACTCAGGATTCAGTAGTAGCTCCTCATCCTCACACTCCTTACTACTAGACAAAATCTAAGACTTAAAACTGAAGTCTGCAGGGAAAATACCATACTCTTTCCAGTGTGGCTCACCCCTGCTCCTAACAAGGAGAAACTTGAACTAAGGAGTTAATAAATTCCTTTCTCTCCTTCATTATCGTTTTTAAACTCAACATTTACTTTCTTCTAATCCCAAAACAAATCTCAGCAAGGCAAAAAACAGACCTTATATAGAATAACAAAACGCTTGTTCACACATTGAATGTCCTTTAAAGTGTGTCTTGAACCTTCTACACTGTAGTCAGGACAGTTTATATTAGAAAAGGGATCTCTTCAACAGAGACAGGTAGTTTGTACTCAGACTACCACAAATCAACAGGGTGAGGTATGCATGCAGTAGTGCTAAGTGGGGCAATAAGAAAATGGAAAACTCTCTAACATAATACACGTTGTAGTTTTTATAAGGCTTAATGACCCAAGGAAACTCCTCTGTTTCTTGTTTGGTACCTGTAGAACGAGTGCACTGCTGACCCCACTACTGAGGGACTAGGTAGGATCGAATTCCTGGTGACACACCAAAGTCTCATCATCTTTGTTAACTGGACACCTACAGCTCTTTCAAGAATAGAGTCAAAAAAGCCCCAAATGGACAACACATGTTTTTTTCCAAAGAAACCTGCTGAGAGAGAGAGAGACTGCAATCAGAAATGGCACTTACTGTTTCTCTCTGCCACAAAGGGGTCCGTTTCCACCCAGTCAGACACCGCGTGCCCCAGCTCAGCCCTCACGCGCAGCACCACGGTCCAGCGGCGCTGCTTCAGTGCCCAGGGCAACGGGCACTCCACCCGGGCGATGCGGGTGCAGTTCAGCTCAGCCCACAGGTTAGAGCTCCCTCTGCGACACAGAACAAACCACACATGCAGCATCAGCAGAACGGCACAGCTACCTAAAACACAACCCCTCCCCACCCAGACCTTTGCTGTAACGATGTTATGAAGCTGCCACTTTCATGCCGGTTGAACCCCGTGGCCCTTTTGGCACCTGCATCTCCTCAGTAGCTGGGGGAAAATTGAAATCCGTGAGGGAGAATTCAGCAAGGCTAATGTTATACAGGAAATCATGCAGCAGCATTTCTGGGTGCTCTTCAGGTCTTCTTGACTCAGTTTAGTGGGAATATCACAGGCTAAGAAACAGTCCTCAGAAGTTGCTTTAAGATACACATAAAGGCATCTGTAAGAGACAACTCACCCTTTCCTTCACTTACTAATTTCTACCCTTTTTTTTTTTTTTATCAGTTGTGTTACTGGGTTAGAACAAAATCAGTTTGGTTGGGTTCAGATTTATTTACTTACGTTTTAAAATGGACTGTATATAACACCAAGCCTCTATCCACTTTAACAGGAGACCACCTCAGTGAACTGTGAAAGTTATAGGAATAAACCATCACATCCTCTGGTGCCGGCAAACGGGGAGAAGATTCTAAAATGAGAAGAGGAATAAAAATAACTATTAAAGCATTCAAGTATACAGTAACTAACTTTTGGTCTCCAAATTTCACCACCATATATTACGTTTCCACTGCTTTGCAGGCAAAACCATTCCTCCTCCTCATTCTGTTTCTAGGTGCAGTACATTTAAGCCCCTGCTATCCACAAAGCACTGAATTGCAACATACTCCTTTTACTTATTCTATACAGAACGTAGCTCTGAAACTACCAAGTCCAGCACAAAACAAACCCCACCCACCTTGCCCATCAAGCTATACATTAAGGGCCACTGCCACTTGTCACTATAAAAACCTCATCTATTTCAATTGTCTGCATCTCACATTTTACTGTCTTGAAAGACATTTTTCCTGACCATCTGTCTCCTGCAAACATCTTGAAGAACACTAAAGGCACTTCACTGAAACTGTCCAAGAAACAGGTTAAAAAACCCCACGTCTTCTTGCAGTTAAACATTCACAAACACATAGGGCACCGTTCTAATTGCAAGCCTGTAGTTCTGTCACTTTTAAAATGGATTTCACAATGTAGAAAAGGACAGAAACCTCTGTTAGACGTGTGCCTTCTGCTAGTGGTAATGTCCACCCAAATTTGGTCATGCTATAAACCCCTGGGAGTGAACAAAGACTGCAATCGCTCTGTAAGGGCTTGTCAGGAGGCGAGCAACACAGAATCAGAAAGCAGAGTGGAGTCTCTGGTAGAGGAGAAGAACCACTTCCCTGCTGGCTCCAGCAGCAGAGGAGGAAGCCATCTATTAGCAGTGGAGCACCGCCAAAGGTCAGGCACAGATATGGGGGCGGAGGGGTCGAGGAAACAAAGGAAGGGAGGGAGGGGGAGAGTATAGCCAAGCAAAAGGCAGAGAACCAACGGCTCAGGAAATGGGGGTGGGGGAAGTAAAGACAGACGTGAGAATCTAAGCGGGGTAGAAGCTGCAGGGAGACCAAAACGGCAGGCTAAAGAACCAAAAAAAACACTGAAAAGATGAGCAGATCAACAGCAAGGAATTGGGATAGACAAAAGAAAGAATAAGATTACCACAAGTAGACTGAGGTGAGGAAGTCAGGAAAATGCAGTTATCAAATGCCTTTAAAACCTGAAAAGCCTCAGACTTTTAACCTGTAGTCACTTGGGCGGGAAAGGCCCTCGGAAGGTCCCCAGTCGGAGCCCCTGCCCCGAGCAGGGCCAGCTCTGGCATCAGGCCCCACAGCTCAGGGCTGCGTCCAGGCAGCTCCCGGACGCTCCAAGGATGGAGCCTGCCCAGAGTTACTGGGCACTGCCTGTCCTAAAGAGGAGAAAAGTTTCCCTTTCACACTTGACTTCTATTTGTCCATGTAGTGATGATCCTCGTACACCCTCAAACACACCAGGTCAACAGGTCCTAAGCTCAAAGACAAACTTGACATGACATAATACCCAGCATGATAAGCTTTCCATTTTTTTGTTCTTAAAGCAACAGACTTCTACGATATGGTTTGTTTATTTTTACATAAATAAGATCACAAGACCAAGCTCTTAAGCCGAATTTGCATTCCAGCCCTCTTTGGGAATATGGGGATGTTAAAAAGTCTTTTTCATTTCTACGTCTGAATTTAGCACAGCACTAGACAGCACACTGATGCTGACAGCACTGTCTTTCAGAAGAGGCCTCATTCCAGGCCCTTAACATTCTCTTTATACAGGAAAGAGACGAAGCAAATCTTCATAAGTTGCATTAAGTCAAAAACAGAAAATAGCTATTTGAGCTCTCAAAGTTTGAACTACATTACTAGTTTCTTAGTCTCAACTTCCAAGCAGTGCTTTTACATAAACACACACTGCCTTAGGCTACACCTGCATCATTCACCATTGCAAACCTGTTCAAGATGCCTTCCAGTTATAAATGTTACCTCAACTATTCTCTCTGGCCTGTTTTAAAGGCTGCTAAGTAACCTTTTCCTCACTCAAGAAAAGTTTTCACTTCCCAGTCAACGCAGATTCTTTCTCCCTTCTGGTCTGGCACGTGGCAAGGTATCTCACACCATCAGCAATCTGTGCACTCAGACATCCGATACAAGCTAATTTTACAAAAATCAAGAAAACTGTCAGAACGAAACACAGATGCCAGCATTGTTTTTCTGCTCCTCTTCTTAAAAAAAAAGAAAAACCAGTGAAGGCAGGCAGTCTTCTCACTCAAGACTTCAGTGATTATTTTGACTTATATTTGCATTCAGAAACAGATCGTTTCCTCTAGTAGCTTCAAAAACACCGAAAAAAAAATTATCACATCTATAGCTCTGTAGTTGAACAACAAGATGCTGTGCACAAGGCACTCCTCCACTGCATATTTTGTTTAGATACCTCAACTTGAAAAGGGAAGTTACTTAAATTTCTGAGATCACACCCTGAACTCTGTAATGATCATTAGCTTATATGACCCAAAGTAACAAAACACCTGCTTTAGAAAAAAAACACCTAGAGAAAGCGGAAGGCAGAAATGCCCCATTCTGCCCGGAACGTGGGGTCACTGAACCAGTTTTGCTAAAGGTTCTACCAAAGAGTGCTCAGATTGTTTTTTCCTGATGCTGAGACTTCCTGACCCTTCAAGCCGCAAGTCAAAGCTTTCACACAACAGAGTGTGAAGCCACAAGATAAAGTGAGTGAAAGCACTTCAGCTTGCCCTAGCCATCAGTTTCATTGCCTCCGTTCCTGCTCCTGAATGATTTCTTACCCTTTCCCCTGCATTAGCCTTAGAACATATCATTTTGCTAAATGGAGAAAAAGAAGTCTGGGGGCTTTGGGATGGAGCTTTGTTGTTCTAGTGTACCAAACTGGCTTCTCATATTGTCAGACAAGCACCAAAGCCTGCATAAAGTGAACAGTAGGAGCATGTGGCCATGTGGGGATGGGTGACAACATTCTTTTGGCTCAGGTTTTAGCATGTAGCATCTCCATTTGCAATGGAAAAAATGTGGCACCCCACGCCTATGAGAGAGCTTAGAGGGGGAGCAGGCGACATGCACAGTCCAAACCCCAGAACAGCCCCCTGGGAAGCCCCACTGCTGCTGAGGGCATGGCACCGGGCAATGCCAACTACAGCAGGCCCACTGCTGTACACCTCAGCCCACCCATGGGCATCTGGGGTCCTGAGCCCAGCCACAGGCTGTGGGCCTGGGACAGCAGCTGCCCCCCAACAACTGGGGAGCCCTGTGGGGCCCAGCAGTCACAGGCTGGCCAGCCAGGCCCTGAGGAACACGGGGGAACGTGCCAGCAGACACGCTGAGCTCAGGGAGGTACCTGCGAGCCTGAGAGGACCAGGCTGGATGCACACGTCATTCAAGATGTGTCACACTTCTTGGGGCACATGCTGGAGCCAGGATTACACTTTCAAGCTACAGCCCAAACCCGACCTGAAGAGCAAACATACACCACGCACATACGCCCATCTGACAAACCATTTACACTGACGCCTAAATCCAATCCTACCTTAACACAGCTCAAAGGGAGGAGGCTCGCACACAGCTAACGAGCAAGTGCCACACCAAAGCGTCTTACACCCGCCCCGGCCCCTCGCAAGCTGAACCCACCCAGGTTTTAGCCGCTTTCCCAGAGGAAGCCGCTTTGGGGCCACGCCGCCCTGGCCTGCAGCATCCCCGGACGGCGGCAGCCTTCCAGGAGCAGTACGCCCGGGGGCCCGGAGAAAACTGGGCTCGTCCTCCGGAGAGCCGAGCACAGGCGAGGCGAGGAGAGGAAAGGATGATATCCGCCCCCCCGCCC